AAGTACTGCTTGCTGTAAAAATGTGAAAAGTCCTGGCCCCGGTGGATTTACAGCAGAATGTATTAAGTTTTTTTGGTTAGACCTCGGAAAGTTGAATGCAGCCTTTAGACAGGGTTCACTATCAGTCTCACGTCTCGGAAACAAGGACTTATAACTTGCATTCTAAAGGGGAATAAACCAAAACAGTTTCTTACAAATTGGAGGCCGATATCACAACGTTCAATCTTCTATAATTTAGGATAATCAACTATATCCAAAAAATGAAATCAGTACTTGACATCATTGCTAATGAAGATAAAAAAAATGTTATATAACTGGACTTGTCTATGACTTGATGGAACATACAGAGAGACACCAGGATTGATGTTCCTTATCGACTTCGAAAAGGCATCTGATATTGTCGAATGGGAAATGGCTTCGGCCCTGAATTCTTTAGTGTTTCCAGAGGTTGTCGTCAGGGTGACCTCTTATGCCCATACTTGTTCATACTTCGTGTCGAAATATTACAACTGCAAATGCACGGTAGGTAGGACAACTGGACGAAGAATGTTATCCATGTAACGCTGAGCTGTCAAGTTTCCGTCAACGATGACCAGCGGTGTCCTCTCCTGCCCACAGATCCCTCCCTACACCATGACACTCCCTCCACCATATGGTACGACCTCCTGCACGCAACACGCCGCCGTTCGTTCACCCCTACGGCGGTAAACACATTGTCTTCCATCAGCCCTAAACATACAGAATCGACTTTTGTCAGTGAAGACAACCCTCTGACAGTCACGTCGTTGCCAACGTCTAAAGTCCGGGCCCATCTCAATCGCAGACGACGATGTTGCGCTATCAATAGCTTTCCTCTGTATGGTCTAAAAGCCCTGATTCAATGAGCCCTGAGTCTCCTGGCCACTGTCTGTCGACTAACCCTGTGATCTAAGCCATTTGTCGCCGATGACGTCACTGCCAGGAAGCGGTTTCGGAGGTGCAAGGTACGCAATACCCAAGGCTCGTTCACATTGTTTGACTTTGAGTCGTGGCATTTCTTTTGTGTTTTGTTATCACTGTGGATGTCTGACTTGCCGGTGCAATCGTTTTATACCCTTACTCGCACGTGCATTTGCAGTTGTCCGTGGTGTTTTTCACTTTTTCGCGTGTTATGTTGCAAACATGTAACAGACGATTAACATTTTCTGCATACGCTATTGTTTTATTTAGGTTATGTGTTTTAGATAGACTTCATCGAAAAAAAATATTATGCTTTGTCTGAAAATCATATTTTCAGTTGGTAAAGTTTCTTTTTGACGTCAGTTTAGTTAGTCCTAAGAAGACAAGCATAACCCTCGGGAAAATTATAAAATGTAATCAGCCTTTTCTATATACTTTTATCTCAATACAAAGTTGAATTTCTATTTGGACAAAGAAAAGAATCCTAATCTGCAACAAGTGTGTTATTCAAAGCATGTTAAAACCCAGTCATATCAGAAACAATACTAGGCGTGTGTTAGACACTGACGCCTGACGCTTGAGTTCCTGACATCGGCTATAACTGATGGTGCTGTTTCTCCTTATAGTTGTTGATGTTTCAATCATCATTCCCATCTGTAATCCTATTGGACACCCTCCAAGGTCTTTAGGATCGATCTCCTGGCCAAGTCAAACCAAAAGACAGCGACATTGTATCTGAGTGGGATAGCACGCACTCACACCCAAACACACCCAAACACACACACACACACACACACACACACACACACACACACACACACACACACACACACACACACACACACACACACACACACACACACACACACACACACACACACACACACACACACACACACACACACACACACACACACACACACACACACACACACACACACAATCACATTGCCTTCATAGATTGATTCAATGCAAAAGATAAGACAGTTAATGAAACATCTCTATCTGTAGTAACATATGCATGTCCATGTCAGACCATAATAAATTGAAATAACGGAGCTCGATAGGGAAGTACCGATCAGCACAATGGCTGTATCCTGAACAAAACAAAAACAGTCATATCTGTTTCAATTGTCGCGACTGGTACACATGCATTACTTACACACTAATCTATGTTTTAAATCGATGCAAGCGAGAGGTTCATAAAACCCCTAAAACCTGAAATGCCACAAATGCCATACAAGGCTGTGAAATGTCACAAACTATTTCAAAAGCAGGACCACGTTTGTATTTGATGACACAGCTTATACTCTATCGTTTGCTAAATTTACATTTAAAATGCATAAACATATTTGTTTTGAATCATTGCGTGATCTTGTCCTTTATGTATTCAGAAGATGCGAGGTGTGTACAAGCCGCCGGGTATAACTTGAGCCAATTGGGTGTCGCAGTGGTTCTTGCATTCGTGGCTGGTGCTGTAGTAGATGCCATCGTCAGTGCTGTTATCTGGAGGAGAAGGAACAGGTAAATGGGTCACAATATAAAGTTCCAAGATATATATTTTAAAAAATCAAAATGCATTGTGTTTTTTGGGGTCCAAAAAATAGGATCATATCTAATAACAACATCATATTGGATAATGCGTCTATGTCTTTCATGTACTTTACACCAAGCTTTGAATGTGTTCACATTCCAGATGCCTACACAAGACATCTGAATCGCGCCCAACCACTGTATCACTCGTTCCAACTGAACCACCGCAGGCCAGTGATGACGTTGGCCCAGAAACTAGGCCATACGACAGTCTCAATGCCGTCTCATATGACGCCAAGATGAAAGGAGAGCCTTACTGCACCGTTAAATCTGGCCAAACAAATGCAAAAACTGATGCCACTGTTCTGACGTCATGTGACGTGTCCGACTCTATCGCAGCAGGGACCTATGAAACCCTTGACAACACGTCACGGGGAACGGATGGTGAATACAGTGAGATCGGGAAGGTTAAGTGACTTTCTATTGACAAACTTACTGTTTAAATAAAATGATATATTGGTACTTGAAGGTATATTCGCAAAAGGTGCCCTTTAGCTCTAAGATTTATTTCTATGTTTGTGGGTTTAAAATTGTAATAAATAAATTAATTATTTACGTATTTCTGTAGCCTGATGTCTATTGACGCACAGACACTACACAGACACAGTTACAATGTGAATTGTGTAAGTTCAATGAGAGCTATGTTGTAACCCAATGTCCCCTGATGTGAACTGATAATATTAATACTTAAGACCTAACGTAAATGTATTTATATTTTGCTAAATAACAGTTATAGGTGGCGTTTATCTTATAATTATAGTTTTGGCTTTGCATGCATGAAGACCTTGTCATTATGGCGTCACCACCTTTGTTTGTGGACGGTGAACTGAAATACATGGACAGGACAAAGTTATATGATCTGTTAACTTGTAAATATTTGTAATAGACGATTCACTTGATGCATTGCGATTATGTATTATTATATTGATGATATATGAAAATAATCTTCAAAAAAGTAAAAACATTTACATGTTTTCATCAGGCATATCAAATTCACATGCTATGCTGACAGGAAAATAGTCTACGTCGTACTGACACAAATCGTATTTTATCAAAAATACCACCTTTCACATGTTGAAACCTATAGCTAGGTAAACCCAGAGTAGTAGTATGTGTAATGGGTTATTGCATCCGTAGCCTCAGGCCACGCTTGTTATCTCTATGCCCCAGAAGCCTTTAGTGTCATTAATATTGTTTGACTATGATAGTCACATGTTTGTTATTGCTTTAATGTCACGCTTTGTTTTCTGTATATGAGTATATGTTTATGTGCATAAACAATGTCAATAAGAAAACGTGTGACGACTGTAGTCAGTCTGGAATTATTTACTCAAATTCTAAAATATATCACTCACAAGTTGGATTACTTAATGTAGATAACTTAAACACTTATTTGATTTATTGCTTTTTGATTAGTATACATCTTTGCAATCATTTTGTAATTATATACGATCACTGGCGCTTCATCAATAAACGGAATCCAAACTCACGGTTCCTTTTTTTTAAAAGGTCCAAAAAGTAAACATTAGCCTCTACCGTTACGAAGCCATGAAAAACATCTAGGAAGTCACGATTTCGCTATCTGTTGAACGTTTTTAAGTAAACCAATCTATATATTCACTGCAATACATCAGGAAGTGGGGCGTTTCCTTAAGCTGTTCATCTCGAGTAAAGTATAGAGTGAAAAGGAAAAGCATGACTTAGGCATAAACATGTAACCTATATAATTTTGCAATTGTATGAGGAAGCGCCTCGACTGAAGTCCATAAGCAGACGTGGTTGTGAGGAGTCCAAGGGTGAGATCATGCCACAATGGACGAGTCTGCAAATCATAATGGGCAGGTTAACATGGAGTTTGGATTTAGTCCAGCTACATTCTGTTACAGATGACACATTTTATATAGGCTTTAGTGTCTTCAGGAAATTAAGTAACTGCCGTTTAATACATGTACATGTAAATTCCAGGTCATTCAAAACGGATTTTATTAAAAATTTAGACACGAAAGAAATTATGCTTTCGGAAAATTAAGTTTAAGTGCATATTCACACCTATATGTAATAATGTTCGTATATATACATACATGTACATATATGCTAACACGTGTCCGTATTAAAGTATAGTGTTCGATCAACTTTACCTGCTGATAGAACTTAAATGTTTTCATCTCTAACCATTTCCGTGTGGTGTATGTTTACCTTGTACAATAACAAATACATGCAAACTCAAATGCTGGGCATGTATTATGTTGATGTGTTGATAACACTTCACGAGAGGAAGCTATTATGAGGGGCGTGTCTGGTTCATCACATGCTCCATTGAAAAATGGACAATGTTGTTTTCCTGTGTTATTATTGCAGGTGTTTACAGTGTAAACATGTTTTCAGGGTTCACCCTTCCCCTTATACCTTAGTCCCCAGTGTGGTGGCCTAGCTTTGGTTTATTATGGTCTGTAGCCTAGCTTTTTTAACTAAATAATCCAATGGAAAACCATACGTTTTAATATATTGATCGTGTTTGTTATATACGTAAACCTTCGATACTTACCTCACTGTTTTTCCTCCTTTTTCGACAGGTATTTAATAAGTAATTAACTTCTTCTGATTGCAATATTGTTTACATGTAAAGTTTTAAATCACTCACGCACTCTTATCTCCGTTGGCTGGCGCTGCCATGTTGAGGTACCCATGCTTATCATGCAATTCACTTAGTAGTCTGTCTCCACTATTATGACGTTTAAAATAAAACGATAGAGCCTCCAATAGCTGTTGATGAATTAACTCAACATGTGTATACGTAAAATCACACATCTTCTTCACGGCCTTGTACTTTTGCGTCAACTCATTGATTGAAGTTTGTTGATCAAACAGGATATTGTGGCCACACAATACGACACATAGGGCACCTTACCCAACAACAAGAACAATATGCAATCAACATTGATTGACGTAAATTTGAGCTTCTTGCTTGTCATTGTTGTTCAGATGATACTTGGTTCTTGAGCTACTAGACCATGCTTGACCATACTATGGACCATAAGTATGACAACCGGCATAACTGTATATTCACATATGCAAGACAGTGTGGACATTGCCTCAGTGGACATATAATATATACTTTTAATTTAAATTTCCGATGCCAATTAGTATTGGTTTACCAAACATCCCCTGCTTCGCTCCCTTGGTTTTTCCCTCTCCACAGGGTATGCTCTGTCTACCAAAACCTCGTGAGCGTGTTTTCTCCAATACATAAAAACTGGTTATTCTGTCTGACCTTTTACTAACATAACACAAATGGTGTATGCTTAGATGGATGAAGAGTGCGCGCAGTGTGTTCGTCTGATTCCTATGACCAATGCAACACAGAGGGAATATCACACTTATTTTATGAATCTAACACTAATTCAAAACCTAACACTCAGGGGATTGTATGTGTGTGATTCATACTCCAAGTATGCCATGGAGGGCATGTGTATGCATTTGCCATGACTTATAGGACACAGAGGGATAATACGTGTGTCTGATTTATATCATTAATACATATATACAAGCTGTTCTCTTTATTTCACCAAGTACAAGATACGTTCTCATTTACCTTGTAACACTGTTGCCACACAGTTTAAGTAACGATAAATGGCATCACCAATGAGCAAGATTGTCCCAGTTAGCTTTACGTTTCAAATAATTTGTGTGCTGGATAAAACGATACATCTCGTTGATAAAACCACCTTGAAAAACGCGAACTCATGTGTCAGTGGATGTCAGTGGTTCAAGGCCACATTCGTGTTGTAGTGGATACAGCGCCTACGTAGATCGTGGAAACTCGGTGCTCAGATTCCCTGGTCGCGTCATGCAACAGTAAACTACGTTTATAACGAACACGCTTATAACAAACTGACGGATATGAAGTACTGTTTTATCCTTTTTATCCATAAAACGAGGACGGACCGGCTCGGTGTTCACTATGATGTATCTGAAGGTGTATCATACCGGCGTGGTATGTCAGGGGGTTATCAATATACAGACGAATTGATTCCGGACTAGTATTAGCAGCCAGACACGCAGGTTTATGCAAAATGAATAAAAACACCTTGAACGTGACGTTTCATTTCACTTGACCTCTCGAATAAAAAAAGTTGTATTTCCCTTGCCTACCCTCTGCAATAATTCCGGTTCATACTTACACTCAGCTACCTGGAACATATAACAAGAATTGTCAAAACATTGTTCACCAGATTAAAATGTCTAAATTGTGTGGAGATAAATCTAAATTTACATATTCCCAAATATTCCCAACTGTTCCATCGAGTGTGAGAATGGCAGAAAATGTTGTTGACACATCACACATTGACATGTATCAATACCCGTCACTGATACTGTAAGCAATGCTATGTTATATACATGCTCCGGGTTAGAAAATTGAAACAAATGATGACATTTGAACACATCCCTTCGTCACACAGGGTTGCTGTTTTGTTAGGAATCACTAAAAATACTGTAATGTTAGTAAGTACAGCAATGGAACTTTGCAATATGAACCGTCTTAGAAAATATGTGCACTCATTTTTAATTAAACAGTTTAACAAAACTATTAATGTATCAAAGTATAAGAGAAAACACTATAACGTGCATATAGCATGCATGTAAACATTGTTGGGTATCACACTTTCTATAGCAACTGTCCTGTCTATAAACACCAGTAAAGATAATTTTATTGGCTATGTATGCAACATGCAATGTATGTAGATTACCAAACGAGTCCCTGCTAGATACCGTTTTTACTACAGCGAGTTTATTTCACGTTTCTAATGAGGACAAATGTACTTTTTTATTACTTGAAAAAAGTTGGCGCATCATCTAATTTCAACCTTACAAAAATACATTGCTGGTATAAGGGTAGCGTATGAATAATATGGGTAGCTTATGATTCGACAGTAGACTGATAATAATAAGTGAATAAGTTGGTTTAACGCCGATTTTAACAGTATTCCAGTTAGGTTCCGCCCCATCGGTCAGACACCCAGTTGTTGGACACTTTACTAAACAAACAAACTGAGCTAACCTGTGATGTAATGGGCTAGTCCCATTATCGCTAGACTGATAAGGACTACTACTACTGAATTGTTTGAGTTTAAACAAGATTGTTAACTATTCTTAATTTCACACCTACATTTGAGACTTCCTAATTAAGTTAACCAAACAATAATTTACCAATTTATATTGAGTTCTTACCATTATGTTCATATCGAAAATAAGGCAGACGCTTTTTGACATGTACTTTCAAACATGGAGATCTACTGTAGATGTTTCTAGCAAATGCGAGTATTATAGATATTTTAAAATGCAAATATGCGCAGAAAAATATTTAACTGATGTAAATATAAGAAAATGCAGAATATCATTAACACAATTTAGATGCAGCTCACACAGGTTAATGGTTGAAGTTGGCAGGCACAACAAAATACCCAAATGATTAAGATTATGTAAACAATGTTCTTTAAATGTTGTCGAAGATGAATTTCATTTTCTACTTGTATGTTGTAAATATGATAATTTAAGGAAAAAATATATTGAACAGAAATACTATGTACATCCAAATAAATACAAGTTTATCTCTTTAATTTCACATGTGAGCAAAACGGCTATACAAAATCTCTCTCTCTTTATATATCATGCCATGTTATTAAGAAATGAATCCTTGTAACATTCCTAACCGCTTCCACATTGTCATTTATTCTGTACTATGGGCCTGTGGCCTTACAGTTATATATGAATAAACTGATTGATAAAGATATGACCCCTATATCCCAACAGCTCTGAACTCTTGCATTGCATTAAGATGGCAGGATTACAACAAGTCGAATATGTTATGTCATGTAAAGGGACACCGAGAGTATACTTCCAGGGTTATCTCTTCAACCGCAATAAGATCCGCCATACATGCACGCATTGGAGGTGTAAAGTGAAGACATGTGGCGGAAACTGCACCACTGTTGGCGACATCAAAGGGTGCTTCTTCCACTTCAGTCAAACCGCGTGGAGGAAAGCAAAGGAGTAATGGAGCAATGGATCCGACGCGCGTGTGCCCTGACCCTTGTCCCTTGCGTCAGGTTCAGGATATTTTTGATTGATGCCACGAATGACTGCCCTGCTGTCCCCGGTGTCAATGAGTTCAATGACAACATGGTTACGACTTGGGTTGACGACGACTCCCTCTTCCCGATCCTGATGTGGAACCATCACGCCACCTTCGGTGCAAGGACTAACAACAGCATTGAGGGATTCAACAGTCGTTTGAATACTTCTCTGTCGACCCGACATCCAAACGTTTACCGACTTGTGGATATTTTGAAGAGAATTGAAAAGGCCGATCGTCTCAAGA